AATGGAAGAAACACTATCGAAGCTTTTGAAACAAACGATTAGATTTATAGTTGTATTCAAATTTTGATTATTATTTTATTGTATCTTACTTTAGGAATCTTATTCGAAAAAGATATTGCAAGAAGATTAAAGAATGCTGATATTCATTATTGCCGCGTTGGTGGTTCAAATGATCGTGGTATTGATATAGAGGCTGATATATCCGATATTCGTTTTGTTATTCAATGCAAGAATTGGGAAAATCCAATAGGTGAGTAATATCTTACGAATAATTATTTTTATTATATGAGAGAGTCCTAGCCTGTAGTTCTCAGGGGGATTGTATAGATTTGAAAGCGCATCGTGGCCACTTTGGGTTGATATATATGTTTAATCAATGTATATATCTAGCATTGTGAACGTTCGTCTGTATGTCTTAATTATAATGGAAATTATTATTCATATAATATTATCAATTTAGGTATAAATATTATTCGTGAATTAGAAGGTACTTTATCACAACTTCCAAAAGGACGGATTGGAGTTTTAGTGATCAATTCTAAGAGTTCTTATACACCAGCTGTAATTAGAAAAGCAAATGAGTCAAGTTTTGATATTATTTTAACTGATGAAATAGGTGTATGTAAAGAATTGGTTGATTTTACAAAAAAAAAGAAAAAGACGTTATTGGATTTTTATTTTTTATTATTATTATATATTTCTATAATGATTACTATAAATTCTTTATTTATGATATATATTATAATAAATAAAATAATTTGATTTGATAAAGAAAATATATAGTTAGTTATTAAGATGCTCTATATGTCCGTGTTCAAAAAAAATACCCTGGCCTGTGCTAACGCGGCGGCCCGCGTTAGAGTATTACAGGCCAGGGTAATTTTTGGACTAATTTCTGATTACCATTTTCGGAAGTGGTGTGGTGGTGTGGTGATTATGTAAGAAAAAAAAACTTATAAATTGGCGTACCACTTTTTTTTGCGCCGGGTATGACGGGTGCTTCAATAATCTCAAATTAGATTCAAATTTTTTGTGAATCCTGTGAATCAAGATTGAATAAAAATTGAAAAGTGATTCGCGTAATTCGCATGACAAAATTGCGTAGATCACCTTGCTGAAGGGATTCAAGATTGATGCGCAGACGACATTTTCGCATTGTACGTGGTGGTACGCCTCCGCGGAAAAGGTGGTACACCGATTTTTAATATGTAGGCGTACCACCGCGTACCACTTTTGTCGATCCCGCGTACCACCTCTGCGCCTCTCTAACGCACCGTGGGATTTCCTTTTTTAGAAATCCATTATTCCGTGCGTTATGGTGTTGTCTTGGAACCCGCAAGGTTTGTCAACTTATTTTTAATATTTTTGACTTGTTTCTTTCATAACTCTGCGGATACGCGACCAAATCATGTGATTTATATGCGAGGTGAGAGGTCTGATCTCGGGCTTTCGAATGGTGTGTGGGTCATCATAGTGAAAACCTCTTTGTTTGGTAGGAATGGCTCAAGGAAGATCAGGTGAACATGGTGTCTTCTTTTCTTTGGACGTTTTTGAATTTCGCCGTCGATCTTTTCACGCCTGTATCTCCGCGAGTTTGCGGTGAAAGTGAAAAATTTTTTCGCGTGACGATAGCCAAGGACATGGGCTTTCAGGATTTTGTGGGTTTTTCGTGATGTGACCCTTCGTTCGACGGGAATGGCTTCTCAAAGTCAAAAAAAGTCAAAAAATCACGTTTTTCACGTTTTCGCGAAAAGTTGTCACATATTGAACTCTGTCAATTTTGATTCAAAACGAAGCGCGAGACCACCTTTCGAGAGCTCAGTGTCGGCTCCATCTTTCGTGTTAAGATGTGCATTAGTGGAAATCCTCTCGACGTCGAGTTATCGAACCAAACGTCTCAACTTTTCTGTTCGCCCGTGATGGTGCTCGCACGGGACCCACCCCTATCTCCGCGAGTTTTGATCCGAACGGAGCGTGTGATGTCTCGTTGGATATCTCGAGACTGAAATTTTTTCCACCACAAGTATGAGCATAAGACCAAAGTGCATCCCCGTCGAGTTATTCGACCCAAGGTAAAATTTTCACTTTCTTGCTCATGTGTTCAAGAAGGATTCATCTGTGATGAATATGTCACATCCATTTCTTCGTATTGTGATCGCGTGTTTTGCATCTCCTTTGGGTTATGCATCGCGTGGGCCATCGTGTGTGTGAATTTCATGTGATTTGGGTTCCTCTAACCTGTTCATCGTGATCAGGATTGGTGCGAGATCATTATTCATCATATTAAAGAGCATTACGTTCGTTTGAGAAAGTATTCTTTTGACACCGTGGGATTTCCTTTTTTAGAAATACATTATTCCGTGCATCCTGGAGTTTGAGGTGTCATGAGTTTTCGTGTATTTCATGTGATCTGAATGAAAGGAACCATTTGATCATGTTAAGATCATGTCTGATATGTTGATCGCCGGGTTTGCCAAACTCTGGATCTTCGTGTCCCGTGTTGTGACCTGTGTGTTTCTCACCTCTTTTAGGTTGTGCGTGGTGAGCGTGATGGTGTGTGAACGTTTCACAGTATTTGGACTGTTGAAACCTGTTTGGCGTGATTCAGATCATGCGTGATTGATGCAAATGCGATGCAACCTGATGGAATGGATGAGTCTAACTCCGTGAATGCTGAACCAATCGGGATGAGCGAACCACCGTTAGGAAGCTTGGAAGCTCAGCCTTCTTTCCGTATATGGTTATAATAATGAGAATGTTCGTTCTTGCCAAGATGTGTGGTGAGATGGGCGTTTTGTCGTGATCAAGATCTTGATGATCAATGGTGGTTGCACCTATTGTCCGCAAATGTATTATAAGGAGGGATGGGTTTGAATCTCTTCTGGACAGTTTAATTCCTTCAAGAATATTCGTTCAGATTCAAGACAAATCAAGATGTTCAACAAATATTATTTCATCGTGATCTTGGTTCTCATTGGTCTCATGATCATCGATCCGTCAACCGTATTAAAGAAGTCATCGGATGAAGACGAGTCACCATCCTTCCTGAGATCGATTCTGAAATCCAAAGAATTCTTTTGGATATTAGCCATAATAGGATATTTGATTATACATGCATTTACTTCATTTCTGTACTGGTGCTATTTGATAAATCATTATCCTGAACATTTCATTCATTAAATCCGACGTTAAGCTCAATCCTGATCGGGTGGTCGGTGTCCCGATGTAAACATGGTTGAAAAGACGTGCGGGTCAGAAGACACATGAACTATGTCTTCTGAACCTGAACGGCGATTTGCAGATGGGTGGGATGTTGAAGAAGATGAAAGGTTCGAGAAAAGACATAGAGATGGTGAGATGGTTGAATTTAATGTTGCGATGGATATTTTGACTATAGATAGGATGTGTTCAGTTGTAAATATTGTATCATGTTAGATTATTAATAAAGTGTATATTTAATTTTATAAAATTTAACGTTCAAATATGAGTTTGCCAAACTTTGTGTGATACATCATAAAGCTCGTTGTGATATTTAAATTTATTTGTAAATTTGATTATGTGTGATAAAGTTTGCCAAACTCTGAGATCACGGGTTTATCGATTTATTTGAAATAACGTGATCTCAAAAGTTTGCCAAACTTTATATCAATAATTATTGGTGTGACAATTGAATATTTAAATAGATTGATTAGCGGATCTGTTTCTTTGTTAAACGGAATTACTTGAATAAAGGTAAGCTTGACAAATGCAAAGTTTTCATATTGTGATGTTAACTTTTGTTTATTTAGGATGTCGTCTATGAGTATTAAAGAGACTCATGAATTGATTGATTGGTTGTATCAAGGGATCTGCAATGATTATTTGGATATATTTCAAATCGTGGGGAACGGTTCCATCAAGGTGACGAATGAAAACGTTCAGAAATTCAGAGATTTCGTGATCAAGTATGAAGGGATCTTGCGAGGGTATGGATATAATCTGAATGAGATAAAGACGTTAGAGCATGCCTCATTTTTCGAAACGCGAAAGAGGAACGAGAACAAGATCAAGATGTTAAAATTTTTTGGGATAGCGAGTCAATTGTATTTGAGTGCATGTCGGGTTTTAAACATTCAACCGAATCATAATTACATTAATGTTATCATCATCGAGGATGAGAACAAGTGAGTTACATTTTCGATTGAAATGCTATAAATAAAGTTGGTTCGGAACCAAGATTGATCAAAAGATGAAGGGTGTGACAAAATTCATATTGTTTTTTATTTTATTTACCATCGTGTGTATTTTTTTGAAACAAAAGACCGATGTATCTTCACACATTACAGAGTACGTATGGTGAATGATTCGCGTATTTGATTTGATGTTAATGTTTATTTAGATTTTTAGCGAAAGGGGTACAGGACAGGATTGGTAAACTATATTGGAAGATACACGAGGATTATCTCAATATGTTTGAGGTCACGGAAGACAAGTTGATCAAGGTAACGGATGAAAATTGCGAGAAGATTGAAAGGTTTTTGAAAAAGTATCGATCCTATTCATTTTACGAGGGATATAATTTGAAGATATTGAAATTGCTGGAGTCGACTCAAATCAGGATGGTTGTATTGTTTGACATGGCAAACCGATTGTACACACATTCATGCCATATGCTTGGAATTCAACCTGATTACTTTCATGTTGACGTGAGAATTTAGTTTGCCAAACTTTGTTGATTTGATAACCATATAAGGTTATCCAAGAATCATTACGTATTGTTTTTTTATAAATAAACATCTGATCTATTAGTTTTATCAAATATGGAAGGGTGTATAATTTGTTACGAAGAAATAAGTGATACGAACCCTGCATCTATGATGCCCCATTGCAATTGTCGATCGATGTGTGGTAAATGTATTTCCAGATGGTTTAAGGAGAATCATACCTGCCCATTGTGTCATGTGGAGGGTCCCAATAAACAAAATGATCGTCAATTGAGACGTCAGATGAGACATCGGAGGATGTTACAAAGATTGAGAAGAAGGTATCAGAGATTATCTCATGAATTGGAAATGGAAGCGCAAGTTGGATTGCAAGAGCTTCGTGAATATGAATATGATTTGGGAGTAATGCAAATGATGTTGCAAGCATCGCAGAGGGAATTGCAAGTTTTTGAGGATGCATTGGTGGGAGAACTTGAAAAGAGGGAGACGGAGCTCAAGAGATATCACATGATGCAAATGTTAAAGTTATATTTATGTGTTTTTGTTGTTATCTTTTTATGTTTGGTAAAGTATTGTAAGGATAATATGAGTTTGGCAAACTTTTGATAACGTGATAGTATTTAAGATATATAAATAAACATGCTTTTATTTTTTTCATGATTTAAAAATGACATTGAATTACGATATTTTTAATATCATATTCAGACTCTTGTCCTTCAAGGATCAATTAAAATTTCGACTTGTTAATAAAGAATGTAACGAGATTTATACACGTCATCTTGATGATGTTCGTTCGTTGGATCCAAGTAGACATGTATTTTGCGATGTTAGCAGACCTCCTCAAGTTTTCGAATTCATACGTGTTCTCAAGAAGAATGTCATATTCAAAGTTAATGGAAAAGAGGTTAGAAGAAAGATCAATTATGATAAAAGGATGGTGCCATATTGTAGAGTTCCAAGTGATGGTCACTCGATAATACGCAAGGTAAATCGAAAGGATGTTGGTTCCTTGGGTAAGGAGAATTGTCGGGGATGTGAAAAGCTCGATTATTGTGTCGATAGTTTGTGTTTTGATTCCAAAAAACGACTTGGTACATCATATACACTTAAACTTTGTGAAGATTGTGATAAGGTTAACGATGGTAGATGTATATATAGTTATGAAAAATTTGAATTTAGGGTAAAGATTTCACAATGTTTTATTCATTTTTATGACATGAATGATAATCTTATACCCAAACCCGATGGATTCAAATGTTACTGTGATAGATTTGTAGAAAATAGAAATCCTGATGGTTTGGTTAGTACTTACGATTTGGATGGATTTAGTGGTTATATTATGGATATCGGAACTATCAAGTCATGTCGATTTTATTACAATGATATCAGATTATAATTTCAATAAATGTTAAATTCGAGATTTATTATATGAAAATGATTACATGATTGTTAAAAAAAAGTGATCATACCAAAAATGTTACGAGGACTTTATTTCCATCGTATTTCGTGATCACATTTGAAGCATAGACTTATAGTTCCATTACCATTGGTTAAAAGAGATGTAATAATATGATCGTATTTGTCACATTCCATACAGGTATCTTTACTAAAATTTTCTACAAATTCTTGAGTTATCAGGTAGAGGATGACTCCTCTATATCTTGGATGTATGCAATAGTATCGATGGAGTGTTTTGTCAGATTTCATGAGTTTCGATTGAAGAATACGTATTTGTTATATTTTACGTAAATAGTATAGAATTTACGATTAACTAATTTATAAGATTCACGATCAGATATTTCGGTGAGAAATAAAAAGACGTGTGAGTTAAGTTCAACAGTACTGAAAACTTTATATTGAGCCATCATTGAGGACATGATAGTTTATTGAATAATTTATAGAAATTTTAAGTTTGCCAAACTTCAGATAACGTAATCCAAAAAGATAACCATATAAGGTTAACTATAATTTGATTTATTATATAATGATGTTGATCGTATCATGTATATTGAAATTATGAGTCAAAAATATAAAAAATATAATATGAAAAGTCCAGCGATTCAATATGTGTGTGCAACAGAGTATCATTGTGTAAACTGTCGTGAAAAATTTCGATGTTCCGGTTCTTACAAGCCTGAAGAATATTCTAACAAGATTAATTGTGAACTATGTGAGAAGAAGCATCGAAGATGTATTGACGAGTCTTGTGAGATGTGTTGTGAAAATTATTGTTACAATTATGAATGTCATCAGTGTGATCAGAAGCATCGACGTTGTACTGATGATGATTGTGAAGATTGCTGTCGAATGAATGAATGTAATGCCGTAATTTGTTCAAGTTGCATTGAATCCAATATTGAATGCAAGAGATCTATCCCAACTTCTCAAATGGATTTCGATCGATCCAAGTTCATGACTTATTGTGTGGGTCAATATGAATCGACACCAGAGACTGGACGTATACATTATCAGGCATATTTTCAAATGGATAAACGAAGACGGGTAGGTGCGATTAAGAAACTTTTGGGAAACAATACGATTCATCTTGAAGGTGCGTGGGGTAGTTTTGAAGAGGCCTCGAATTATTGTAAGGCTCCATTCTTTCAGCGCAAAGGGACCTATTCTGAATTGAAGGAAGAAAATTGCAAGTTATTTGATGGTGAGAAAAAGAGAAAACGTGTGGAAGATCCGGATGAATATTATGAGTTTGGTGTTCCCAAGAAACATTCACGTTTGAAGGATCAAAAGGATGTCAAGGGTTCTATAGATGAGATCAAGGAGGAAGATTTAGAACGATTAGTAAATCTTCGAGATGGAGATATCAGTTATAGAGACGTGGTATTGAATCGAAATTTGCAACCATTGAGTTGGCGTTTGAATCATAAGTTGATGAAAGAATTGGAATGGGAGGAGAAGATGTTGAAGGGATCGATTGTCAAGAGATTTTGGAAACCTGTTGTGATTTATATTTATGGTCCTGGTGGTTCTGGTAAGACAGGATTGATAACCGAGTTATTTTCGAATGTGATGTATAGCAAGTCCTCAAAGGATCGATCGGGTGGAAAGAATTGGTGGAATGGATATGACGGTCAATCGGTGGTTTTCTTGGATGAATTTTATACCAAGATTTCGTGGGGTGAGATGGTAAACTTGTTGAATGATACCGATTACTCAGTTGAGATCAAGTATGGAACTTTGAGATCATTTATTCCACGATATATATTTATGACAAGTACCCAATCACCACAGAATGCATATACCTATGGTACCGGAACTGATGAAGATGACAATAAACGTTCATCTGAGCAGTTTTTCCGTCGTATTGATTATATCATCCGATTGGAAGGGAAGTGGAATGATGATGTTGAGGAACGGACGACCAGAATATTTTTTGAAAAGGGTGATGAGGATGATTTTCGTAACATGCGATGGGATATCAAATATAGGAGGTATGGTGATACAATTGATGAATTGAAACAAAAAATCAAGGACGTGAATCAAGATGTTGATGGTGAGATTATCGTTAGAGATGGTCAAGTTTATTTCAGGGAAAGATTTCCAGATCATAAGATTAATTATCTCATGGATTACCCGATGTGTAAAGATTTGTCTGAATATAGGTTGATTTGATTTGCTTATTTACAATATAATAAATATCGATTGGCGTGATAAGGTGGTGGCGTTTTGTTCTAATTTTATATTTAATTTGATTGGGTTTTAAGTATGGTCATGGTATCAATCATTCGTTATAAATTGATTAGTTGTTTAATGTGTATCATGTTGAGATCAAGATTTGTAAGAGAGGTAATATTTGATCGAATTGAATGCAAATGAATAAATATTTATTTATATTTTTTATAGGATGGAAGTACGAACGGTTACATCTGAAAATAATCCAATTTTATTGGATAAAAATATATCACACTTCTACAAGATCATAATATTACGATGGAGTATTTATTATATTCGAAATCATGGTTTGAATGATGTCCGAGCTTTTCAGAATGCATTTTCTTCTGTTTTTTCAAACCCCAATAATATGATTGGTAATGACGAGTTAGCAACATTGTATCGGGCAGGTTCAAGACGATGGGATTATCATGTTCAGAGACATGCGGTCATTTTTAAGGGTGGTGGTGAGGTTCGGAATACTGTAATTCCCAATATATTTGATTATAGGACTCAGGTTGATGATTATTGTAATTGGTTGGTTTCGAGTGGTG